TCCATGAAACCCGGCTACGGTGCCCTACCGCACAGCATCCTTTACATTCGCGATAGAGGTTGCAATAACAAAGTACCACAACCAGAGTGAATAGGAATCAACAGTGTAGGCATTGTTTCAGTTAGGATATAAAAGTGATTAAGATACACGCGTGTGCTATTTATGAAAGCAATATATATTTATTGATTAAACAGTAGAAATAAATTGACACACTTACTGCAAAAACGAGGACTACGTATCGAAGTGTTTACCTCGGCACCGTTCTACTCGTTACACTTCCTCTTACCAGTGAATGTCAGCTCCACACTCATCCCATAGTTTCAGAGTTCTATTTAAGCATTTTTTAATGATGTGTGTATTCAATATTTAAACCGACTTAGTCAGTGGTTTCCTCACTCCTGATGAGGCACAACATATAATTTACACGCCGATTGAAAGAATACATCCTGTACGTTTGAATAAAAAAGAAAACTATTTACATATATATAAGGAAAGAAAGATTTGTCCGTTTAATAAAATGAAAAAGAAGGAATATAATTCCAATTAAAATAATGATTAGGTGTCATCCTAGAAAGCACCTGCCACAATTTTACCGTTCTACATCCCTGTCTGGTGCATGTTTCCTGCGGTTCACCTTGTTCACGGACGTTGTCGCCACTTATATATAAAAATGATAATTATGGCAGCCAGAGCCGCAACAAGTGTGAAAGCCAAGTGATAGAAAACTGGAGTCATACCCGAAAAAGATCTTTTACTTTCGTTAATATTAATGTCGCGGTTATAGTTGGAGTAAAACGATTTAGGGCATACATCCTCGTATGGTGCACACTCGATTGCACCAGACCAGAACTCAGCACTGTAGTCAGAAAGCACAAGGGTAGTACCGGGTGGACAGTCCACGAAATCACTGGCACCCTTCACGCGCACACGGTACCTCGAGGTGTCCTTGTCACACTGCACGTCTGCGCAAATAGAGAGCATATTTTTGCCATTGCTTATCTGGAGATGAGTGCTCGAGACGGCTGAAAAGCATCGCGCAGATTCTGAAAACACAGAACCATACATCATTCGTGTATTCCCATTTAAGCACATAGAGGTTGAATATGCTTTTATGTATGGGCAGTAATCCATCCATTGATCAGTTCCACCTTTTTCCCGATCGGAGAAGTACTGGAAATATATTGGTAAGCTAGTATAATACGCTATTAAGCAGTCACCAATGCCCATCCGATCTGATGTACATTTGTAGTCACTTATCAAAAAAATTTCATCGTCACAGAACATCTCCGGCACCTGTGACACACCGTCAATAACGCAGTTCTTATCAAAGAGCACACAACCGGCATTCTTACCCCATGCCATGCTTTCAGCATTGCGGTAGTTGCCTTTGTAGTAGCCCGTGTCCTCCATCGCCGCAATGGTGATGGCAGTGTAGAAACTTACAGACTTCACAGAAGCCATCAAGTCATCCTTTGCGTTGCGCATCTTCCAGTGTGAGCCGACAGACCCCGTGCCACCTATATCCTCCAACTCTACGTGCTGCATGGTACTGCACCCGTAATGAGCCCTCGCGACTTCCACCACTTTGGGCGAAGAGAGAACATAACTTGCTGGCTTATTACGAACAGACACAGTATGAAGCATATTTCTATGCTTAAATATTTGAATAGAAAAACCCAACGCATGCAGTAACTCGTGCGCTAGAGTACGTATAGAAAGGGGAATATTAATAGTGTCTATAAACCCAATATTGGCAATACCCACCAAAGGGCGGCCACTGGGGTCAAACTGACACCTAATTGCCCAAGCTATAGTACCAGATACAGTTGGTCCCGCCGCTACATACAGTACAAAATCGGTATCCGGTACACCGGTGTCGTGGTGAGACTGG